TTTATTGTACTTTTTTCAATGTAGTAAGTTAATTTAATACTTGTTGAAACTATCTACAATGTTAAAAAACAATATTAAAAATAAAAATCATATGATCTCATTCGTATTTAAACAGTTTGTATGTGACCAAAAAAAAAAGAACAGTTTGTACATAATCGAAAGAACAAAAAATGGTGGATAAATAGAGGTGGAAGATTAAAAACTACTAATAATAAACTATTTTGTGTGTATGCTCAAGTGGCAAGGTTGTCTGCCACTTATTCGCTGAGTTGTTTAATCTCATTGTTTACACTACTTGAAGTTTTGGACCTCGGCAAAAAGTTTGATCTATTAGTGTTATGTGTTAAGTTTTTCTCCATGGTTATGTATCGGAATCCTAAAGCGTGGAGGAAGCTTTAAACCTTCGGCTTCAACGGGAAATGTAAACCAACATAGAGTCTAGAGCTTTTTGGTTGGTAGGTAAAGTAATTAAGCACCACTTTCATCTCGCACAACCCAAATCCGAACGTTTATGTGTATTAAACTCTGCGAAAACTTACCATCCAATTCGGTGATGGTAACCATGGGATTATGTTTGGTGTTATATGTTAAGTATTTGCAAGTTGTAGCATACTCTCGGACATTGTTAATGACTTTGTTAATTTCATCCAAAGTCTCCATATCTTCTGTAGTGTAATGGAGACCGTAAGATGAGACGTTCACTAGAGGCCAACGTGAGGACAAGAGAGCATCACACGATTAATGGTGTATGGGGGCGTAGCAGCCACTTTTGACAAGTTGGATTGATCTTCCGGCTTGCATCAAAGGTGGCCCATTCGCCGATCATGGTGGGTTGAACGGTCGCATGGTTATGACCAAAATGTCGATATTTGCAATAATGTTCCCAATCTGCCATTTTCTTCTTCGTCATATCGGATTTCGACATATGGTCCCAGATTAGCATCTAGGTCTAGGAGATTTCCATTGAAGTAACATCGACTTGGTGCCACTCTTGAGAGGAAACAATTCGGATTATGGTGCAATGGCCAAGCTCACTTACCCAATAGTGAAAGTGTCAAAAAAAAATTGTGTAGGTCCATAAATCTCAAATCCTATATGGTAAACCAGCATAGTCAAAATTTGACCGACATGGCTATAACCACAAATGATTATCTATTATTATCAAAGTGGTCCAATACTTTGATAACGAAACTGGAACACTCATTTATTAAAAACAAAATTCCGGTTTAGTTTTTTTTTTTTTTTTAACCGGTTTACAATCCGCTGCGATGTACATCCTCGACGCCGGAGCTCGATTCTCCGCCGTTAGAGTCTCACCGGTGTTCAATCCTTCGCGGAGATACTTCACCGTAAGGTCTCTTCTACCTCTCTAATCGATATCTCCATCTTCTTCTTCGTCTCTGTAAGCACATCTCAGATCTCTCCATCGTTTTCTCCAAATTTTGTCTCTTAGGGCGACTAATCTTCCGTTTCCGAAGCATCAAGCTAAGTACCATAAAGAGCTTGAAACCGCCATTGATGCTGTTAATAGAGCTTGTCGTCTCTGTGTCGATGTAAGATATGATTTTCACTTTCTTTTTTTTTTTGTAATCGGAAGAACAATCTAAGAAATTGACCGATGATTTTGGCTTCGATTTTTTTAAGGTTAAGAGATCACTTTTTTCTTCAAAAGAGAAGATTCTTGAGAAGAATGATCAAACTCCAGTTACTATTGCAGATTTTGGAGTCCAAGCTTTAGTCAGCTTAGGTAAGAACAAATGAGTCCACTAGTTTTAAGAAGCTTTTCTTGATTTTAGTCAGCTTGAGTTTCTGGTTACAAACTTTTGAGTCTTATTTGAATGCAGAGCTTTCGAAATTGTTTCCTTCGATACCTTTGGTAGCTGAAGAAGATTCTCTGTTCTTGCGTGCGAATAATCTCGTAAGTTCTGTGGTAAGTGAAGTTAAGGCAAAAGCAAGTATAGGAGATGATCAGTTGTCTGATTCTGATGTATTAGAAGCAATTGATAGAGGTGGAAAGGATGCTTACACCTTTTGCAACAAACCAGCTACTTATTGGGTATGTCACTTTTTAGCATTGATATGAAGGTTTCTCCAAGTTGTGAAGTTTGTTAATTTTGGAATGTTAAGAATCGAAATGAGATATTTGGTAATACTTGATTTTGTGTCCTCTCGAAACAGGAGAATTGGCACTAAAACGGAAATTGATACCTTTGTGTCTGCAACTCGCTAATTTAGTATTAGGTCCATTGATGTTCTGCAGGTTTTGGATCCAATAGATGGCACAAGAGGGTTTCTTAAAGGAGATGATGCTTTATATGTGGTATGTCTCTTAAGCTTGCGATTCTCATTTTCTTTCAGTGTTTCAAAGTGGTGCTTGTGAGAGTTACTGAAACTAGCATAAGGGATTGATGCATACTCGAGAACCACTTGCTTAGCTCTACTCATTTTTTTCTAACTCACTTCTGAACAGGATAACTGATTTTTACATGCATTTGTATGAGTTGGATATGAGGTTCCATTTTTTTTCTGTTTCGAATCAGTGAGTTCTGATATTTTCTTCGTCGTTCATAAATTCAAACACAAAAATCTCAGGTAGGATTGGCTCTTGTTGTAGATAATGAAATTGTGCTAGGGGTCATGGGATGTCCAAACTGGACAGGAGACTCTTCAGATGGATCCACCGGGACCTTAATGGTCTCACATATTGGTTGTGGAACATGGAGTAAGAGGTTACAAAATGTCTCTGGCAAAGTATCCGGTGATTGGACAAGGTGTTTTGTTGATGCATGTGATATAGTGAACAAGGCTCGGTTTTGTATCCCGGAGAGTGAAACCTGGGAATCACTTCCTCTCACTGGTTTGTTCGACGCAAGAATAGATTCAGATTACTTAAAACATAAAGAAATTCTTCTTTTGCCCACATGTTGTGGAAGGTATCTACTAACACATCATTATTCTTCAAAACTGTTCATCAAGAAACAGAAATGATCAAATACTCTATGCTTGTATGCAAATTACAAAATTTCCGCTCAGATCGGTTTTCCTTATCTGTGTGTACAGTTTGTGCAAGTATTTGATGGTAGCTTCTGGTAGAGCATCGGTTTTCCTTCTCCGAACCAAAACTCAGCGAACAATAAAGGTACTCCATTGTTTGATCCGGATATACACACATCAAAATCTTTCTCATTTTTTCTTTGTTGTATTTCTCATCTCAAGAGATTTTCTTGAACATGTATAGGCTTGGGATCATGCAGTTGGGATCATATGTGTTCATGAAGCCGGAGGAAAGGTTGGTCAAAATCTTTTCTACATGACTCCTAACGAAACCTTAAAAAAGACCAAACTTTTTTCATTCTGATGATCATCTCTGTTTGAAGATTGAATTCTCCAGTCTTGTTTCACGATCTAAGTTTTTCAAGACATCGTCTTTTCTATCTCTCAGGTAACAGATTGGGAAGGAGATGAAATCAATCTGGAGGAAGATCAATCAGAAAGAAGGGTCATATTTCCGGCGGGTGGTGTTGTAGTTAGCAATGGAAGTTTACATCATCAAATTCTTGAGATGATATCTTCTGCTTCACCAACTCCTTGATTTATGACTACTCCATACTATGAATTTATATGATTTTGAGATTTTATTTACAAAGATAGTTAATTTGTCTCCAATTCTTTTTTCTAAATTGGATTGGTATTTTGGATGCATTATTGGAAATTTTACATAGACTCTCCTCTTGTGCCTCAAACCAAGCAAGCTCTCAGGTGGATTAAAATCCAACCCCTGAAAGATTTTACCAAGTACTATTTCCTTATTTACCGAATCCTACAATACCGGTTGGTTCCCAAAAGTAGTCCAAGACTCCAAGTTATAGTAAATCGATTATGTTGGGAATATTCATGGTTCTAAAGGTATAAGAATTAGAGCATGATTACCCTTGATACGATAGAGGTATATAAAAAAAAAATTGAATAAAAAATTAATAAAAGAGAAGATTTGTATCATGGGTCACGTGAGACAGATCATTAAGGAGAGACTGAAGAGACAGTATTATGAGCCATGTGGCGACTCCAGATTGGACATTGAGATTTTTTTTTTGGTAAATAGTAAACATCATTAATGAAGATAAAAATTTAGGA